CTCTTTCTGTTCTTTTTTTTCCTCTTAATTGCCATTTTTTCCTAGACCAGCTGTAGCATCTATGTCCTGACTTTGATCCAACTACTTACTTTAACCCATAGAGAAAATGTCTCCCATAGACTCTGCATATATCACTGCAATGTCTCCATTCTTGACAAGCTTGCTGTTTTAACACAATAGAATGCAAGGAGAACTGCATAAAGTGAAGCTCTCACAAACTGGGAAAGAGAAAATTAAGACCTCTGTTTAGTAAATATTGGCACAAAAATGCAGTTCTTTTCACTAAAATACTATTGTGAATATGTGATTGAAATTTCAACAGAGACCCAGGAATTCATTGTTAGTTCATTTGTCTCCTTTGAGAAGTCATGCTTTAAAATATTATTCTTATTTTATTTATGATATGAATCATTCTCAACTTTGGTTCTGCATGGGGCACTGGAAGAGGTTTTTTGAGTCCCTTTATTTTTTTTTTAAAGCTTTTTTTTTTTTAAAGATTTTATTTATTTATTTGAGAGAGAGAGAATGAGAGAGAGCACATGAGAAGGGGGAGGGTCAGAGGGAGAAGCAGGCTCCTCACTGAGCAGGGAGCCCGATGCGGGACTCGATCCAGGGACTCCAGGATCATGACCTGAGCCGAAGGCAGTCGCTTAACCAACTGAGCCACCCAGGCACCCTTTTGAGTCCCTTTAAAGACAAAGGAGGATGCAATGTGATAGTAAACTTAACATAACCAGTGGTGGCCTCAAGGTAAAAATGGATAGCATATGTGACTTGTTAATAACTATACATTTCTCACTATTTACCTGCTTATAAGAGCCTAACTGTATGTTCAACACAGTGGTAAGTACTGAGGGGCATGCTAAAATAAAGTAAAATTAAATTAAATTAAAATTAAATAAAACAACAAAAAACCCCAAAAAACAACACACAAAATACTAACCAAGTTATATTAAGGTAGGGAGAGAAGACATATAAAAATATAACGTGAGATAATGTTCCTTTCAAAATCCATCATAAGAAAATTACAGATAAATTTCTTGACATGTGGAGACAGAAGGGATTGTTTCCATCATAATAATATGGGTGGAAAACATTACATACATGATTTTGTTAAAATCATGACTTTTGAGGCAGGTGTCCTGGATTCTTATCTAAGCCATCACAATTTATTGCTTCTTATTTTTCAAATATTAACAAAAGTAGAGAGAATCTTAAAACTCTTTAGAATTATCAAGATTTTGTCATATATATTTTTCTCCTTCTTCTCATCCATCCTTTCTTCCTGTGGTGTGAAGAATAATGATCCCCAAGGATGTCCATGTCTTAATGCCCAAAACACATGGATATTTTACATTATATAGCAGAGGAGAATTATGATTGCAGGTGGAATTAAGATTAATCTATTGACCTTCACAGAGAGATAATTCTGGATTAACCAGTTGGGCCCAATGTAGTAACAAAAGCCCTTGAAAGTGGAAGAGGGAGACAGAAGAGTAGAGTTAGAGGCTATGCGACTATGAAAAAAGTGTCAGAGAGATACAACAGGGCTGGCTTTAAGGTGAAGGAGATCAGAGCCAAGGACTATTGGCAACTTCTAGAAGCTGAAACAGGCAAAAAAAAATGGAACTTCCCCTAACGTCTCCAGAAAGGAACCCTGCCAAAACCTTGAGTTTGGTCTAGTGAGACCTATGCTGACACTGAAACTTAGAGAACTGTAAGATAATAAATGTGTGTTGATTTAAGCCACTAAGTTTGTGGTAATTTATTTGTTAGTATTTGGGGGGGGGCAGGGAGAGGAGGCAGAGAAATTTCAAAGCCAACTCCAGACTTTGTATCATTTTATTCCCATGTGCTGAGTATATCTTTTTAGAAATATTAGTATCTTCTTACATCCAAAGTACAGTTGTCAGAGCTAACAAGTTGAATAAAATTTTTTTTCCCGATAATAGGTTCTCAATTCTCTCAGTAATGTATTTTTATTGGTGCTTTATTGTTGCTATAACCATACGCAGAAGAGTTACCACATCGTCTTTCAAACACAGTAATTTGACTTATTACTCCTAGTGAGATGGTCTTTGAATCAAGATCCAAAGAGAGTCCACAAATTGCATTTACTTATTATGTGTCTTTGGTTTCACTATCAAGGGAACAGCCCATTCTCCCTCACCTCTCCCCTATTCATGCCATTGACTTGTTGAGGAAACCCAATCAGCTGCCATGTAGCATGCCCCGCATCTGCTTCTTTGCGGGGTCATTTAACTTGTTTCTCTATGCCCCGTAGTTTTTATAGGCTGGAAAGTAGCCCTAGAAGTGTGATTGGATTCAGGTTTATAAATTCCTGAGACTACTGCACAAGTGATGCTGCCTCCTTCACGTTGCACATCAGGGACATCGTTACTATTTTTAGTGGTACCTGCTTCATTCAGCAAATTGCCCCACTAGGTAGTTTTTCATCAACTTTTCCTTTAATTTTTGATCTTTGCCTGAATCAATTATTATACTGAGCTGAAAATAATTATCTTCTAATTCTATTATTCCTTCCTTAAGTATTAACTGTAATTTTCTGTAATGTTTTTTCCAAAATGGAAGAACATATTTATAATATGCTACTATATTTCTTTTATCTAAGAAAGAAGTATATGTGTTATAATTGTAATATTATAATACATGTATATACCTCGATTTTATTTATATGTATTATTTATATATTATGCTTATTTATCATATATAGGTATACACACACCTATATATATTATAGTTATTATAGGTATATATTATATATAGGTAATACACACACACATATTTAACGAGACTTTATCTATAGGCATGACTTCTATTGATATGTAAAGTAATAGAAGGATAAACTAAAACATGAAAAAATACTACAGCTAGTGGGAAGGAAATAAAGTGCGATGAGTAGGGACAGAAACTAGACTTTCCTGAGTACATCTTGCTTTGTAGATTTGAAGTTGAAATTATCTAAGTATTTTACACAATTTTGAACTAAATTTGAAAATTTTAAAATCTATGAAAATTGAAAATTCCCAAGTACTGAACCTAACTAAGAATGCAACTGGTGCTATAACCATACAGAGAAAAGTTATTATATTGCCTTCAAAACACAGTAATTTGACTTACTATTCCTAGTGAGATGTATTGTAAGGACATTAAAAAATAAAAAAGTTTCAAAAATTTAAACTGCTTTAATCATATTGTTCATAATAGCTTTGGTATTATTAATCTTAAAACTGTATATATGCAAATGATAATTATAGCATATATATGATAAAACCAGTAATTAATATTATTAGAACCAAGATTTTCTGCATAAGTGATAAAGTTAAATAAAAAATTGTTATCCTAAATTGAAAATCTATGAAATAACAATACAATTTCTCTTAAAATATGTATTTCCTAACTCTGCCAACTGAAAATCCTGGAAACTATGATTAACTCAATTACAATGAGCACTCTTACTATTAAGATTATGGTTTCTAAATATCATTTTCCTCCAAAAGGAACTGGATATTCTTAGAGAAACAAGTGATGTCAAGATTGAGATAGGAAATATACAAGGTGAGCTTACATCTTCTCACACCAAAAGTAATAAAAAATATCAAAAACAGTTAAGATAATATCAAAAGGACTCAGGAGCTATATTAAAGAGTCAGAAATTAGAAAACTGGAGCATTAATAAAAATAATTGGAATAAACCAAAACACATCATAAATGTTTAAATCCATTTATTCATAATAATCCTCTTTACTATTTTGTTCTTTGAAAATACATCTTGCTGAAGTTAAAATATAATATTACTAGAGGGCAGAAAACAAATTTTATCTTTTGAAAACACGTAATACAGATGCTAGTGACCCACGCGAGCATCAAACCCATCATCTCAGTTACAGGATGCCCTAATTCGGTGATTTCCAATGTTTTGTTTTATGATATGATGCTTTCAGGGTGTTTGCAGTTTTCTTTTCTTAAGATGATGCAAAAACCCATTTACTTAAAAATCAATGCTCTAGCAATTTCAGTTTATGGAACAAAAGCATAACACAATTTGAATGTAAATTCACAGTTTTGACCTCAAGAGTTAAGTAGAAAGTTACCTAGCAGAAAATAACTGTAGAAAAAGTTTACTTCTTTAATTTGAAGTTGTTATTGACCTCACACCCAGCCTTTTCCCCAGTCAGTTTTGCATAATAAGTATAATTTAATGTTACACAGACAGCTCTATGTATTAAAATAACTCCCAAGGGCATCACTATAAAAGAATTGCATTTATATAAATGTGCATGAATTATTAAGCACAATTCATTTTCTGCAAAGAAAATAAGAAGTGCATAATATTTGTTTTTAGTCATAAAACATTTCATGACAGTTTAACATATTGTGGGGATTAGATACTGGAAAACAAAAATAAAAATCAATGGCAAAAAAGCCTTTTAAAATGAGATGGCATGAAAGTAAGAAATTCTAAGAACCCCAAAATAAAATAAAAGCAGGAGCCTGGAAAGTAGAAGTATGGTTTTCATCCTAAGAGTTTCTGCCACAACCTAGAGTCATTGAGCTTCAGTGCTGATAACTTAATTGGACATTCAACAAGCTCAGGACCAGCCAACTAAATGATGTAAGAGCCCTACATACATTGGCAACCAAAGAATATGTAAAGGGTCAGTAAGAAAAATTAGCATCTTCAGAGAGTTTGTAACTCTAAATTGGCCCTCATAAGGATTAATACATCCAGTTTCATACTATCCATGTGATTTGAAAAAACTGAACACAAAAATTTTAGAGGCGCCTGGGTGGCACAGTTAAGCACCCAACTCTTGATTTGGGCTCAGGTGGTGATCTCAGCGTCATGAGATGGAGCTCCCCATCAGCTCCGCCCTCAGCGGGGAGTCTGCTTAAGTTTCTCTCTCCCTTCCCCTCTGCCCCTCCCCACTCTCTCAAATAAATCTCAAAAAAAAAAAAAAAAATTAAGTGTTCTTGTGTCAGAAATGAGCCTGAGTAACTGGCAGAAGCAAAAATGAGTATCTTTGGAAAGACACACTTTAACCCACTTCTCAAAGAATTCCAAGGGGGATCAATAAAATGAGTGGCTTAAAGTTAACAAGTAGAATAGACATAAGGAAACAAGCATTATTCGTGAAAACCAACAGAAACAAAACTGAAAACTGAAATTTATCATATACTGGATATAGAATATAAAAAGACTTATGGTTATTAACACTACATGAAAGAAATGCTATCTCAGATTGGGTTTCCTAGAAATAGAGTTTGAGGCTGGGATTTGTATTCATATGTTTTCTTAAAGATTTGTGTGTGGCGGGAGGGGCAGAGGGAGAGAATTTTCAAGCAGACTTTCCACTGAGCATGGAGCCCCACGCAGGACTCAATCCCAGGACCCATGAGATCACGACCTAAGCCGAAACCAAGAGTCCAATGCTTAACCGACTGAGCCACCCAGGCGCCCCTGGATTAATGTTTTATTGAAGGGGAGCTCATCAGGAAGAGCTTCGGACAACATGGGAAGGGAAAGAGCTGAGCAAGGGTAAAACTCGTGTACAATTCTCATCTTGGCTCAATCCACAGATTAAGGATGGTTTCTGAAGCATTAACTGCAGGGTATGTCCTCATTCTGTCTCTCCTCCTCCTTGTGTGGAAGTATACATTCATTCTGTTATTTTAGTAATCACCCTATTTTAGCCTGCGTACATGACAAAAGCAATCAACAGCCACTATTGTCAAGTATCAAGAGAAGAGAACTCTCATTTCCTATTTGTTAGAATGGACACTGGTACAACCTCTTTGGAGAAGAGTTAGATACTGCACAGTGAAGCTGACCATGTGTGTGTCTTATGACCCGACATTTTCAGAGTTATATGTCCTAGGCAAAAATTTGAACCTGTGTACCAGGAATGTTAATAGCAGCATTGTTGCAATGTTAAAGATACTTGGAAAAAACTCAATGTTCATTAGTAGTAGAATAAATGAGTAACTCCAAAAATAAATAAATTACATAATTAATAACTCTAATTATATACTAGAACATTGAGCAGCAATGAAAATGGATAAAGAGCTATATATAACAAATGGATGAATCTCAAAAACTTGGTGTTGAGCAAAGGAAGCAGAATATATACAATACAATCATATTTACACAAAGTTCACAGAGAGGCAAAATCGGCTAATAAATTTTTATGGGTACATACATAGGTATAAAACTTCAGTGAAAGTAAGGGAATGATTAACACAAAATATGATTTGATGGTTATCTCTGGATTTGGGGAGGAAGGGGAATACAAGCAAGGAGAAAGGGAATTTTTTTTTTTTTTAAGATTTTATTCATTTATTTGACAGAGAGGGAACACAAGCAGGGGGAGTGGCAGGCAGAGGGAGCCCGATGTGGGGCTCGATCCCAGGACCCTGGGATCATGACCCGAACTGAAGGTAGGTGCCTAACGACTGAACCCCCCCCAGGGGCTCCGAGAAAGGAAATTTCTAATACCCTGCTTCCTATCCTGTGTGATGAAGACATAGTACTGATTAGTCTTTGAATAATTTGTATACATAATTTGATGTAATTTTAATGTGATTAGCAAGATATTATATTTTTTTAATTTTTAGCATTATATTTAAACTTAAACTTACAAGCACCTTCATATGCCTCCCCTTACTTGATCATCTAATTAATACCCTTGAGATTTTCTCTTACCCTATCATCTATCTGTTTTTCTTTCATAAAACCTACAGTTTGTAATCATAGATTTACCTGGGTGTTTATATGTTTTACTACGGATTTCCCCCACTAAGCTGCGTGTTCCCTGAGAACAGAAACCATGTCTGTTTTGCTTACCACTGTGAAATTCAAAATGATTCCTTTTACATGAAGTTGTATAGGGTTGAATTGTAGGATTCTGAGAACTTTTCCATCCTCAAAGATGAGTTTTGCCAAAAGTTGGAGGGGGAAGCTTTGCTAAAGCAGTTATGCAGCCACTCAAATAAGCAAGATAACATACAAATAGATCAGAACCATACATGGTACAGGGTGAGAACTCAATACATACCAGTAGGTGCTGGTATTGCTGTCATTTTGCATCTTTTTATTTAACTCTAGTGGTTGTCTAAGTTAATTTCATTCAAATTTGTTCATCAGGGGCACTAATTATATTGTAGTCACTCTTTCGTGCTGCCCAGGTATATAAATGTAGACTATTTTGCCAATTCATGAATAGTGGTTGTAGCATCAGCAGTGGAAAAACAGGGAAGTCCAACAGGGTTGAGTGTAACTGTAGTTTTCGTAGTGGAGATAAAGGGCCGTAGATTCAGGGTAGAGGCTAAGAGATGAAGCACTTGTTTGTTAATTCGAATTCTCAATCGCAAGTATCTTGGAATGATTTGTTTCACTGTTTTAGAGACAGGGTCACATCTACAGGCTTCTCTAAGGGCAAGTCCCCATTAAAAAGAAATTATGATAACACCAAAGAAAGGGACAACCTTGTAAAATGGATTAGGACCCAAGAGTTGGTGGGGAAATAAACTTAACAAGTTTCAACCAACACTTGCTGTAATGAGATAAAATGAATAATAAAATAGAGCATGGACAAATAACTTACGACACTTTTGCTCTATATCCCATTTTTTAAAAATCATCTATTCATTGTGAGAAGCTTGCTAATGCGAGGATGGTAACATGAAAGAATGGTCAATGGCAACTGTAAGAACTATTGATTGAAAACTGACAAATTATTCTTTCACAGATGTTAAAATATAAAGATTTGTGTATTAGAATTAATAAAATAAGGCATAAACACGTATAAATACTAGTCTTTGACATTAAATCTATTTCTCAGTGAGGGTTGTGGCCAAAACATTTGAAAGCTACTGCCCTAGAAAATGTGTTTTCTGTTCCTTAGATTAGAGTTGGATGGAATATTGCAAAATCATACATATATCAGACCGTGAAATTACAGGGACTATAAGAAACTCTCTGGTAAATTAAAAGTAAAGTAACATTTCTAAAATTGGCACAAAAAATTGCACATATATTGTGAAGTTGTCAGTCAAATTATAAATTAAATCGACATAAAACATTCACTGACCACGAAATGTGACAGCTAGCTAAGACTATGTACATAATACTCAAACCAGTGAAAACTTTGATCCACCAAGCATGAAGAAATTGGACAGACATGTGGATTCCTCAGGATAACAGACTCTTGGAAAAAATATATCAGGTTTTTCTGTAAAGTATATAATTCATTGCCAGGTATGTATAATCTGTTTTGAAAAACTTCCAATTATTAAAATTTGAAAATAATAATAACCATAAAAGCTTTCAGTAACACTTCCTTAAGTTGTTCTAGAAAACACTGTTATTTTTGATTTCTGCAGAGTCAAGTGCAGAAGCAAGTAGACTGATGAACTTATGAACATCATGAAAAGAGTTGTAGAGAGGAACCGGAGCCACTCGGATGCCATTTGGCTCTCGCTTGTCACACTGTGGGGGGTAAATAAAGTCACAATAATGTTAGCATTACTCACATAATGAAAAAATCTACATTCAAGATAAACTTACATAAAGCAATCATGCCGATTTCCCTAAAACTTAATATATAAGCGTTTTTTACTTGTAGTAAAACATGTTTCTATGTTATTGGAAACTCTCCTCTTAATAATAGTTAAAATATGAATGAATATCATGAGTATCCAAAGGGTTTTCCTGAAATCTACTCAGCCATCATCTTCTTGAAGCGTCCAATAAGTATGGATATAATTTTTTGGTGGGGAGACTCTGGAGAGACTGGAACCCTTGGGCACATTTAAATGAATGAGAACCTCACTGAGACCTGGAGAGTTTTAGTCAATAGTCTTTACATTTGATCCTTTAATCTCTAATCTCACCTGTAAGGAGTTGGCTGTATCCCTGAAATGTCACAAAATGGGCCCAGATAATTTGGTCTAGCTGGAAGATCACTATGACTAATCTTTAAAAAACACCCACTGTGAGTTAGACAGTACCGTAAATGGTTTATGTGTGCTGGACCATTTAATTCTTTTTTTTTTTTTCAAAGATTTTATTTATTTATTTGACAGAGAGAGACAGCGAGAGCAGGAATACAAGCAGGGGGAGTGAGAGAGGGAGAAGCAGGCCTCCCGCTGAGCAGGGAGCCCGATGTGGGACTCGATCCCGGGACCCCAGGATCATGACCTGAGCCGAAGGCAGACGCTTAACGACTGGGCCACCCAGGCACCCTGGACCATTTAATTCTCATAACCACTTTTGGAGGCATTTTTGCCCTCCAAATCCAGACGGAAACACTCAAGCCAATAGACGTGAACTAGCTTTCCCAGGAGCACACAGCTTACAAATGGTAGAACTGGGTTTGGAACACTAACATACGGATTTGTGCCTCTGGAATCTGAGATAACCTCTCCTCAGAAGTGACAGGACCACATGAGCGGAGCAATTCCTAAACTACACTGTCACTGGAAGTAGATCCATTGACCACCAGTTTTCCTGAAATGACCCTATTAACGCTTATTTTCTGAGAGAGACTAAACAGATCACTTAGGCCCAAGGGTTAAAAAAAAAAAAAAAATTCCATACAATGTTAACACCCCTGAGATGTGTCTACAGTTCTTTTTTTACTAAAATGACAGGTTGAAAACGACTTGGCTCAATCAAACAGCTAAGTAAGACGGACTTCTTTTCTTCCTCTCCACTACGTTAGTTAATTCTGTGTATTCAATAAATATACATATTTGGGCTTTCACTAGTGAAAACATGTCCTAAAATTGATTATGATGAAACAATTTTTTTTCTACTCAAACTGTAATGAAAAGAATGAATAAATTATGGGAGACTTGTTCCTATATTCAAAATTTGTGGTTTCTTACCTTTTATCAGAAATGACAGATCTCTTCGTCTTCAATTAGCACAGTGATGAATATTTAGTTGGCACTTAATCTAACCTCACTGACTGACCAATGTGAAATAACATGCAATAGTAAATTAAATGAAGAACCCAAATTTTACCCCCAACATGCAACTCAGAGAGAAAACCGGGTACCAAAGCAAGAGATATACTTACAACCACTCCTCGTTTTTCCAGTTCTCGGAAAACGTATTTTATTGGAACAGAAAATGTTAGTGTAAGCTGGCAGCCGCGATCCTCTATGCCGGATGGAGTAATTATGTTCACAAACGGTTTCTTGGTATCCGCTTTCTCTTTGTCATAGTAATGCTTGATCAAGTATTCCAGATAACCGGTGAGCAAAATAGATTTTCTCCTCAATGCTTTCATAGTTGCCTGCTTAAAGATCTACAGAATGAGAAACAATCCGATTAACAGTGTCTTGTTGATTTACAAAGAAGAAAAATTTAAGTGAAAATCACGTTAAAAAAGGAAGTGTCCACTTCTGACCTTTCCAAAAACATCTCATTTTAGATAATCCTTTGTAAAAACATGTCCTCTTTTAAAGATCATGGAATTCAAACCTTTTCCTCCAAACCATTTTACAAAATCATAATCAAGAAGACTTTTTTCTATTCATATATAGCTTTTGGTCCACACAGAAGCATAATAAGGGCTAAATACTTGTGTACATATGAAAGGCAGTGTGACCAATATTATTTATAATTGTTATACCAACTCCTAAATCTCCCCAGTAACAGTAAGCAAACAAGTAGTTAAATAATAAAATTAAGTTTTGTCAGGCAGGGAAGCAAGTCATGTTAGATAATACATATGTTAGTACTAAGGCAGTTAGGCTCGCTTCTCTGTGTGTGTGTGTGTCTTCCTCCCTCTCTCTCTTTTTCTTTCTTTCTTCTTTCATCATTTTTTTCCCCCTGCTAAACTCCATCACTGGTGTGAAAATACTACCATTTGCTGCCTGAGGTGTCTTATATTAAGATGAGTGACAAGTGCACACAATAACTGGAGTTGGAATATTAGAGGTCAAAACAGACATGCTTTTCTAGCTTATCTCTTAAGGTCAAGTAGAGTTTAAAAATATATCCTACATATAAGAACTGAATAAACCGCAAACGGAGCATGATGCACTGGCATGTCACTTAATATCCCTTTTCTGTATCATGTTATTGTTATGCCACAGAGCAAAGATAGGGTCGTTCGGTGACATCTAGACTTTATGAAGCTTGGGAAAATAGTTATTTCTGTATATACATGTGGCATGTGTGAGCAGGCATTCTAATAGAACTCAAACCATTTGGGCAAAGACTTCCTTGATCTATATGGCATGGGAGCTGTAGATCTGGCTGAAGGAGACCAAGGGATTTGTATTGAAGGTAACAGTATCCAAGGAAGATGGGAGGAACAGGATAGAATGGCATCTGTCTCTGTCCTCAACCAGACCTCTCAGACTTTGGAAGAGATTGGCTGCAAGTCGAGTCTGATGTCAGTCTCAGAAGGTATCTGGGATGGGCAGTACAAGCAGGTAACTCGAGTTACTCAGGTAGCCCGAGTTACATTGTGTTTGATAGGAGGCATCTCTTCACTCCCCCGTGTAAAACAACGTGTAAGTGGATCTGGCACAAGGTGGACTCAAGGGAACAGAGCCAACTTTTGGATCAAGAGAGCCTGGATCAAGAATCAATTCTCACAGAGGGCAGGGGCAGGGAGAGGCAAAGCACGACCCACCAGCGGTTTGGTTGGCAGGACAGGAATACAGAAATAGGAGAGGACTTTTTCCAGTCTTCTCTTTGGAGATTAATAGCAATTCAAGGAACATTCGATTTATAAATAATTCTGAAAAATTTTCTGGTTCTGCTATAAGCCCGGTAACATACAGGCAGGAGGAATATGTGAAGTACTACTTTTAATGATACTTCATTTGTATTCATAGGTTAGTAGGACTTTGGGGAATCTTACTTAAGTTTATAGGGTATTTTTTTTAAAGGGATTTTGTTCTTGCAGATTTCTCTGATAGCTAGAAACCAATTTTTTTTTTATAACAAATAGTCTTAAATTTAACATACCGTTACGCTTTGATAATAAAATAACTTTTAAATATGAAACCATTTTCCATCATTAAACCACAGTAAGGACAGCTGCATTGTGAGGCACTCAAAATCCTGTCAGAGGTTGTGAAGGTCTCTTCTGAGGACTCACATAAAAATATTAAGAGGGAATAATAGGAGTTATCTGGAGAATAGAATAAATAGCTTCTTTTCGTTTTGGCTTCTCATTATTTCTATGCTTTCCGTATTGAGAAAGAATACTTTTTTAATTAGAAAAAAATGAAAACTGTAGTTTGGAAATATTCAGCTTATAACAATTTTTGGCAGAGTTTCAACTACATGGGTTATTTTTCTTACTGAGAAAAATGAATGCAAAGCTAGAAAAGTTAGAGAAGTTTAAATGGGAAAAATAAGTATAGTATGATGGTTTCAAGTGTCACATTTTTTTCTCTTAAATTCTTAAAATTGGCTGCCTAATAACTTTGAGGAAACACATAGTACATTTCTTCTTAATTGCTGCATATTTTAATTGAACGCTCTAATTTTGTATTTTGGAGCTATTTATTTCATTATAAATTCATATACTGAAAGAGTCTAAAAATTGTCTACCTATCGCTGCATACAAGTATGACCGTTCAAATACAATAAATATATTTTTAATTTCAAGTTAGCAGTTGGAAGATTGAGATTTCTGAAGTAATCTGCTATAAACGTCTTCATTTTAAAAATGAGACAAATGAACTCAAGAGTACATATAATCAAGAGATGTTGTCACCTGTCTAAAGGTCACCTGTCTAAGGTCACACTTAGTGTCCCAATGAGGACTAGAGTATATGCATCCTGGTTCCTACCCTAGGTTCCCTTGATCCACATTTTTGTTATATATAAAATTTGTACCATATTTGTACCATATGTATTTGTATTTATACTATATAAATATGTGGTACAAATGATTAAGAGCCAAAAATATAAAGAAAAAGACAGTTTGAAACTGATTATAAAGTGCTATTTTTCATACTATCATTCAATTGAATGCACATGTAATTATAAACAAAACAATATTAATATTTTTTAAAAATCATATTGTCAAACTGGTATCATATCCATGTACATTGATTCTTAAGTTCAGAATCTCTCCTCCAGTTGGTCTTTGACTATGTAGGATATTTTTTGAAAGAGAAGTGGCTACAAGGAAAAGCACTTTGATTCATTCATCTATCTCTCATTTATTCGAACTTTAATCACCTATCTCTTATAATGCTATAATGTAAACAAGGGCAGCAGCCCTCATGCTTACTCCTCTAGGGAGCAGAACATTTTAATGGTCATGTAAAGAGTAAGAAGCAAAGAAATGCATTGTTTTGTAACTTCAGAATTTTGCAATTTATAATGGGGAGGAAGGATTTCAAAAACACTTTCTCAAACACAACGTTGGATTACCTAAGGATAATTTTGGTTAGAATGGAGCCTCAGCGGCGAAAAACTTAAGTTAGGTATTTCTAAGAGGCTCAAGAGAAATACTTAAGTGATAAGTTGCTCCAGAGAAGTATATATCCCACTTCTTGTGGCTTTTAGGGTCTTTTTGCTAAGTTTAAGTGTTAAAGAAAATAAATAAATCAATCTTCAGATTCCAGCTGAAAACAAAAACCTTGTCTAGGTGACTATAATACAGTGTGATGTGGTGGTAAAAATTTCTGTGCTTTCTGGGTGTTATACGTGAACAATGAAACATGGAACACTACATCAAAAACTAATGATGTAAATAAAATTAAAAATAAATAAATAAAAGCCCCCCTCCAAATTTCTGTGCTTTTTATCATTCAAGCCAGCCTGGAGAACCAGTGGTAGGAAAACTGAGAATGTGACTTCTTTTTCATGGCAGAAGGGGTAAATACTTGAAACCAGTCCACTGCAGAAACATACTAGAGTGTCTAAAATTTCTAGATCTGGCTGAGAACTCATTTGCAAAAATAAGGAAAATCGAGGAAAAACATTAAATACTAATTCTTCCCAAGGTACACCTTGGTGCTTTTCATACCGAATTTCATTTTTTTCCTGATACAAACTTGCAAAGCGAGCAAAATTTTATTTCATTATAAAACATTTAACAGAAGAGTTTCTCTGAATAGATATCATAAAAACAATTCAAATATCATTATCTGACTTGCTAAGTAGATTCCCTCACTACCCCCCCAAAAATTTTTTAAAATTTTTTCACTGGCTTAAAAAATATTGTTACTGGGTCTATTTTCAATTAAAAAAAAACCCAAAAACGGCCAAAAAGCGAAAACAACACAAGCTCCATCTAGTGGTCACACTGAGTAGGTGCTTTTTAAATTGGGATGAAGTGAAATGAGTTGATTACCACTGTCTAGAGGAGAAGTTGTATAAAAAAAAGAACTTGACACTGCCATCCAGTGGCCAAAAGGAGAAACTGCTGTGCGTGTTCACAGAATCCTAGAATTTAGGTTTAGAAGAGATTCTGGAAGTCTTTATCCAGTCATTCATTCTGAAATACTCAACAACAGGATTTCCTAAAATATCAAAAACTAGATGATTTTAAAACATTTTAAATTAATAAAGTCAAATTCTCTTTTGAATAGCTATATATTTAAAATCTCTGTTAGAAACTCTATTTACCAAAAAAGCCCCACATTTACCTAAAATACATTTTACTCTATCTATGTATATAAAATATATTTACTTAGTATATGTGTTAATATTAATTATATAGCATATAATCATTTAATACATATTTACTTAAACAAATTTAGTCTCATCCTGAAATTAATATCCAAATAATTAAGTTACATAAATATACATATGAATATAATATAGATATAAATGGATAGGTAAAGTAGATAAGTATCTATCTATATAAATAGTTAGAAAGGTAGATATGCACATCTAGAAAACCAAACTGATTCCCTGGATATTATTGCTTAGGGTGAAACTAAATTTAACTAAAAATATGAATTTACTAAAAAATATATATTGAGCCAGTAATAGTAGAGATTATACAAGAATATAATGGCATAGACACTCTAGTAAAAAAAAAAAAAATCCACTTACTTTAAGAGATACCCTTGCTCAATCTTTGGTTTACTCTGATGATTTCTATTTTTTTTCCTTAAAGTATGTCTTCCTATAGTTTTGTGACATGGCAGTTTGTGAGTTCACTGACTCACAGAACCAGCAGAAGCAGAATTCCCAGTAATCACAACAATGTCTGGCACATAATACTTTCTTAATAGATAAATGTTGAATGAGTGAATTAATCAAGAATTAAATATTGTATGGTTATTTTGTAAGAGAAAGACCATGAGAAGATTAAACAACTTATTTAAGTTCATACAAATTCTAAGGGGAAATAAAAATATGTATCCCCGGGTCAGTTCCAAAACATTTATCAAGTGCCAACAACATTTATTATGTGCCAAGCACAGTGCTGGGGCTGGAGATAGAAAAAGGAGATGGCAATTAGCCCACAGTCACTGCCCTGAAGGAGAACACTGGCCTTTGACCATTGTTCATTAATCTTGCTGTTTAGCAGAGAAGGTCCTACAGTAGGTCACAGTCAGGTAAAGAAATAGGTAAAGATGTGGGGAGGTTGAAGCATAGATCACTTACCTCTAAACTAGCGTGTAAGGAACAGACCAACAAAATGGGAGGGTTTGAAATTCGAAATCCACTGACTCCAGGGATTAACTGCAGTTCTGAAAAATGAACATCATGTCATTTATTATAGAATGTACCTTAAAAAACGTCCTCTATGGATTTTTTTTTATGACACTAAAGTGGTAGAGAGAAAAAGAGTAAGATTTAAAAGCTTTTATTCCTAAGTTTTCTGAGATACTTAAGAGAAACTCCATGGACCTAAAATAGTGGCATGTTTCCCCTTCACCTGCAATGTCTGTCTCCCCTGCCCCCACACCCTAGAACTCTTAGACACATAAAAAATGACCTTTTGTAGAATTCTGGATCTCATCCTCTGTCTTCCCACTCCCAAACCAGCATTCCTTATTGTGCCCCATGCTTTGCTTTTCCACTATGAAACCATGTCAGTGAGAGAAAAACATCAAGATTTTAGTGGCTTGTAATTGTAATGCCATCCAAAGGCAGAAATATGAATGAAATGACCTAGGAAGGTGACTTTTAGCACTAGGATTATTAGGTCAAGTGGCTTCACCTAGGGAAAAAAAAAAGGCTTTTAAAAAAAATGATCTGCCTAAGTATGATATATTTAAGAGGTAAATTAATAGCAGATATTATCCTAATTAGAATCAATTAGATTGAATAGTAGCAAGTCAAATCCAATAGAGTTAAATTGCTAGTTGGAGATCAAATTAAAGCTAAAACTGACTAAAAGAGCATTAGAATATGCTAGGTCTTTAGAGATTCATCTAATCCAGGACTGAACTATGTCCTGGGGACCAAATCTGGCCCACGACTTATTTTTGTAAATAAAGTTTCATTGGAACATAGCCACGTTCACTCATTTATGGCTGCGACCGCTTTAGAAGTACAATGGCAGTATTGAGTATTTGCCACAGAACAGTATAGCCCCAAAAGGTTAAAATATCTAATCTCTGGCCCTTCACAGAGAGACTTTGCCCACTCCTGCTCTAGTCCAATTCTCTTGTTTACAGATAAGAAAACCCACCACAAAAAATTTAAGTAACTGGCATATTAACAGAGCTAATTATTCCAGCAGCCAAGACAAAATACAGGTTTCTTGATTTGACTGGAAGAGCCCATCTTGATCATTTGCATCTTGGTTTTTACAAATGCGAATTTATTTAAAATAGTAGTTCAGGTTGGTAGCACTCTGAAGGGGAAAGTTGAACTGAAACTCTCAAACCATTTAAGCAGCTTTCTGTATCCGACGAGATGGAAGAATAGGGTCAGTCACTCAGGAAAAAGTAGGGCAGTTTGGGACCACACTGCACGTGTTGTACTTTTATTTCTACCTGCTGGGGTTCAACTGCTATTGTTTGGTGTGTGGCAAAAGCCACAAAAGGAAAAACTGAAAAAAAGAGAGCTAAAAACGAACCTGTCTCACTCTCAAATCAAACCCTGACACAGATTTTACTATTCACATTAGATATGCAAGAAGGAAAACAAAACAGAAAACAAAAAACCCAAGATGATATAATTTGTGCAGCATCACAAAACGATTAAGCAGCAAAGTGGGACTGACACCTAAGTCTCTCTGGGTCTAACTACAAGCAAAAAATTCCTTTCTGTCCTCATTGCCTGATGTTTTGGGTACTCAATATTGATGAGATCTGAGTCCTGTACATTACATTTCACTTCCACTTATCTCCCTACAAAGGGATAGACCCAAATTCATGCTAAAACCTACAAACACTTAGTCTTACACTCTGGAAATGTCATTTCTTATTTTAAGAATTCTCAGTGGCATTTTCAAAGTGCACTCTCCATGAGGCATGTATATTACATATCATACAAAGACAGATGAAAATTGAAATGAAGGTAAAATGAAATGACTTGGGAAGTGAAATTGAATACACTTACTGTTATCCATCTTAAATCGGGTGCTGAGTTCATGGCCAAACCATCCCACTAACCTAAAACATAAATAACAACATTAGATATTTTGATCTACAAAAATAACTGCAATTGGGGCGCCTGGGTGGCTCAGTTGGTTAAGCGACTGCCTTCGGCTCAGGTCATGATCCTGGAGTCCCGGGATCGAGTTCCGCATCGGGCTCCCTGCTCGGCAGGGAGTCTGCTTCTCCCTCTGACCCTCCTCCCTCTCATGCGCTCTGTATCTCATTCTCTCTGTCTCAAATAAATAAATAAAATCTTTAAAAAAAAAAAATAACTGCAATTAATACAGGAATTTGGGGCCTGTATATCAAAACCATTTGTGATACGAGTCATCAAATATTTAAGCATATACATGTTAGATGATATCACAAGGCAATTAATATTTATAACCTTATCAAGAATGAGGATAAAAATCAATTTATTCATATTACTAGTTATATTATTTTTGTGATGTTAAATCATCTGAAAATCTATATTTAAGGATCTTTTTCTTATTTAAAATAAAATGAACAAAAATGTTGAGTTTTTTTAATTTTAAAACGGAAGTATAAGCTCAAAAAGGAAAAGCAATTAATGTAATAATGTATTTTTCACAATAGGCTCCCTAATGAGAAATGGTGTTAAAATAACCTATATAATTGTGGAAAAAATTTGAGTAATTTCCTAAGGAAATTGATTACTGTCATATTTTAGTGAGATTAATAAATAAGTAGGAAAAATCATATAAATGTATGTGTGTGTGTGAATATCAGAGGAAAAGAATTATAATTTAAAGAAAAATATAAAATTTGAGAAACAGTAACTCAGTATTTCTGGTATGTTCTCTCTAAATAAATTTTTCATTTTAATGCTGTCAAAATAAAAAAAAATTCCAAGGTACTTTGTTAGAACTGAGCAAAATACTTTTCAGTTTATGTAGAATATATGAGTGAAAATAATAAATTTTGAAATAGAAGACTATAATGGTGAGTATGCTCTATCTAATACTATTAGCATGCTATAAAATTAATGAAATGAATGTGCATAGGACCAGTGAATGAAGCATCAGGGAGACAAATGGAACATGACAGAAAATATAAAAACAAGGAAGCCTGGGTGGCTCAGTGGGTTAAGACTCTTGGTTTGGGCTCAAGTCGTGATCTCAGGATTGTGAGATTGAGCCCCCGGTTGGGCTTCACTCTCAGAGTAAAGTCGGCTTGAGCTTCTCTGCCTCTCCCTCACCCTCTGCCCCTCTCCCTGCTCGTGTGTGCTCTCTTTCTCTCTCTCAAATAAATAAATAAAATCTTTAAAAATATATATATAAAAACTGTCCTCAGATCACATAACAGCTTAATAAGTGATAACTGTCACATTTCAAACAATGCAAGGATAAAGAAAAGATATTCACAGATTTATATGGTTTTGAAGAGAAAAATCTGACTATAAAAACAAAAGGAAATATAGAGGCAAATATCGATAGATTTATAAATATTTAAAATACTGTATTGAAAAGACAGACAAAATTAAAAGACAAACCAATGATGGGGAGAAGGCTGCTACTTGCCACCTATGAGTTTTCACCCAGTTTTTTCATCAGAGAAGGGGCAATGCCCCCCCAAAGCTACCCAGCCATAGAGCATGGACAGGGCATTATAAAAGGAGAAATGTAAATGTCCCACAAATTCAGAAAAAAAAAAAAAAAAGAGTTCAATCTCAGTAATAATTTTTAAAATGTGAAATATCATAAAGATGAGACCATACTTCATATATCAAATTGGCAAAGTCATTCAAAAAGTATGAAGCCTATCATCAAGGATTCAAAGAAAAAGAAATGAGTACTTTGTCTAATCATGAGAATAATAAGTAATAAAACCTGTCTAGAGTACAGTTTGAGAATGTATATGAAAAATATGTATAATTTCCTGTCCCAGGACTTTTACTCTTTCCAATTTATTTGAAGTACTATTTGGATTACAGCATTTGGAGTACATTAAGATATATGTACTAGGACAATGAGCACAATACTATTTACAATGTCAAAGCACCTAAATATCTTTTAATAGAGAGCTAATAAAATGACTTATACTACTTTCATATAATGGAATATTACTGAAGCCATCACAAAAAAATCCTACTTAAAAGAATATATATTCAAAAAGAATAAAATGGAGATCACAATATTTAGAATATTATTCCAATTTTAGAACAATAAAAAATATGAAAAAGCCAATAAAATATAATGCATTTATATGAAACCCTGGTCAAAATGTTAAAATTTTTTATTTCTGCTTTATTCTTATCTGTAATTTTCAGAATTTTCTAAAGAGCATGTATTGTTATTGCATCAGAGAAAATCTACAATTATAATTTTAACCCATATTCATTAGTTCAAGCTTTAATTCTAAAAATTAGCTTATTTTGTACACTTTGAATATATACATACATATATATTTATATCTATAGATATACACATATTTTTCTATGTATATAGAACATATATATAGAATTAGTTAGCAAAGATTGATTAATTATGTAAGATAACTAATGCTTTTACCCTCAAAAATATCATATGGCTTCCCTTTTCTTGAAGGGAAAAATTCATCGCCTATTAGCCCAAGCATAACTTTCAAACCTTATTCCTAGTATTTTTTTTCTCATTTCAAGTGATTCATTCTCAAAACCTATCAAAAACCCCTCCCACCCCACCCCAACACCATGGTTTTTCTGCCTGAAATGCTTACATGGGTAGAAGCTGTGTAGGAGCAGTGAAAGAAAATATCAGGGCAGAACAGTGGAAGCCCAAGTGATATTAACACATCAGGAAGTTCCACTACTTTCTGAAGAGAAGGCAAATTTTTTTTATTTTAATTTCAAAAGCTACCCCTTGATAAAATTGTAAGTAAAATACAGGGATGAGCAGGATTACTTTCAGAATGGCTGCTATATTAAAAAAGAAAAGAAGACATTTTTATATAAAGAAACAAGAGGAGCCCTAACAGTTGGAAGTAGTCAGAGAATGCGATAGCTGAAAGGCTACCCTGTCCCCTTCCCTAACCTCCAGTTCAGGTGTCTCCCCAGATTGCTGATCCAAGAAAATTCAACTCATTCAGGGATGAACAATGGAAAAGGGAACTGGGTATTGCAGTCACAAAGATTCTACACGAAAAATGTAAAAGTAGAAAAATCTATGCACAGATAAAAAACATGCACCAGGCAAAGGTTGCCAGAAAGCTGATGAACATGCAAAGCAAGGAGTAAGTAAATTAAACAATAGAAACTTAATGAAGTAATATTTCATATGATGCAAAAATACCCAGTAGAAATGCAGGAATAGGATTGATATAGCTTGACAACAGGAGGGAGGAAAACAAGCTTGCAGAAATCAAGAAAAAATCATAAAAGAAAAATAAAACACATAAAAGAAATAAAGAAAGAGTTTGGGAAGAATGCAAGGAAGTTAGGAAACTAGAAAAGACACCAGGGGTCAGAGGACTGCTGTGAGAAAAAATAAACAAAAAGAAAAAGAAAAAAGATTTAAAAGAGTCAAGAGAGAAAGTTGTATCATAACCAAAGTGAATTTCCAAAGAAGACAAGCAAGGAAGGAAGCAAGAAGAAAAAAAAAATTTTTGAAGTTGTAATTCAAGACAACAATGACTGAATGAAAATGAATAAAAAATGACTTTAATCAACTATATTGAAAAAATGCAACATTGAGCGAATTGGAGAGCATTAATCAAGAGTAGTCACTTTTATTTAAAGTTTGTTAAAGTTACTGGATTTTAAGGATGAAGAAACAAAATGAGATTCCAGGCAAAAATGGTGAGGACAAAAGAAAGTAAAAAAAAAATTAGATTTGTTTCAAAATCATCAAATGCAACCATTCAATGAAGAGGATAATGTAGAAATATCTATATAATATTCCCCTGCCATAGAAAGAAAACATAATGTGTGAATATTATGGGTGGACAAGCCAAATTGTATAAAGACTACTGGTGTTAATCAAGCAAGAGATCAGCGAATATTTTGCCATGAATTCTTTTTTCTCTGTTTTTATTTTTTGTTTCAAATTTTTATTTCAATTCCAGTTAGTTAACATATAGTGTAATATTGGTTTCAGGAGTAGAATTTAGTGATTCATCGCTTATATATAACACCCAGTGCTCATCATAACAAGTGCACTCCTTAATGCCCATCACCCATTTAGCCCATCCCCCACCCTCAATTTGTTCTCTATTGCTGAGTCCTATGGTTTGCTTCCCCCTCTTTTATTTTCCCTTCCCATATGTTCATCTGTTTTGTTTCTTAAATTCCACATATGAGTGAAATCATATGGCATTTGTCTTTCTCTGACTGACTTATTTTGCTTAGCATAATACACTCTATTTACATCTACGTTGTTGCAAATGTTAGGATTTCATTCTTTTTGATGGCTGAGTAATATTCCACACACACACATATACATATACATACATATACACGCAAACACACACACACACACACGCACACCACATCTTTATCCATTCATCAGTCAATAGACATTTGGGTTCTTTCCATAGTTTGGCTATTGTTGATAATGCTGCTATAAACATCGGGGTGCATGTGCCTCTTTGATCCCATGAATTCTTCATAAAAATCTACATAAGGGTAAAGTTAAGTCAGCCAAGAGACATTATGACAAAAACATATGTGGTGACTATCGAATGCCTTTAATTATAGGACTAGGATTAAACAAATGTGGGAATGAAGGTGACAGAACATAACAAAAGAGAATGTTATATGACAATGTGAAAACAGTTAACTGGCAAAATGGGGGTAATAAAATAATTTCATTGATCATCTATACTTAAACTTGATAAATCAAGTAATAGAAGTATAATCAGATCTACGAATATGCACGAAACACCAAGCAAGTCAAAACAGACTAAGTCGGGCGCCTGGGTGGCTCAGTTGTTAAGCGTCTGCCTTCGGCTCAGGTCATGATCCCAGGATCCTGGGATCGAGTCCCACATCGGGCTCCCCACTCGCGGGAAGCCTGCTT